ACTTTAGTATATTCGAATCATTCTGTTGGACTTCAAGAGTTTCTGTTACAGAATTTGTAAATAGTTTTGGCATTCCATAAAATTGAGCTTTGATATTTTTGATTCCTGTACAGTACATGAGTGGATCTTCAAATCTAATTTGCAAAATATATTTATTAGAACCGGATATGTATATAAATATATGCGCTCTCTTTTTCATTCGCTCACGCATACTTACATGACATCATTAGAGTAGTGATTGAATTTTTCTTCAGATGGTTTGCAAGAATATAAATCCAAAATATCCGATACAATTTTTTCTCTTTCTTGATTTAAAGGAGGAATATTCGAAACTAAGTAATTATTAGGTTTGCTAGTATCTGGTAAATTCTTTGTCTCATTGCCATTATGAATATTATCGTTATTCACAATGGTATTGGTATTATTACTAGTTGTTGTAGCTGTTGTTGATGATTTATTTTCCATTTTTATTATATATAATTAAAATAAATTCATTATTATTTATTACAGTATTTATTAATAAATGTGTGAGCAGTGGAGCGTGTAACACAAATTAAAATTTGCAACACAACTATATTTTCCATCCGCAGAATTATACAAATAGAAAGGTGTTTGACTAAAGTTGAGCTAGCCAATGGTTGACATTGATTGTGTGAAAATATTTGGCTGCCTGTTTTCATTTGCTGCCTTGCAATATAATGAAGATTTCGTCATCTCTATTCCAGACTGTGTTACAATTTTTGCAGTTGAGCACAAAATGCAGAGGACTACCAAGTCTTCCATCAATCTTTTTACATATATTTTCTAATCTCATCATATTGCGTTTTGAAGATCTAAACTCGGAATATTTATAACCAAGACCTGCATCACCAAGGGGTCATGATCCCAACAAAAAATTATTGTTGCATTTGGTGATGTAATGTTTAACCCTTGCATGAAAGGAAAAAGGGCAGGTGTATGTAGGATTCTTTACAAGGAACTTTGTTGCCTGGAACATCTTGGTTGTCTTGCCATTTTTGAGTTGGTTGTGATTGTATTGGTGGTAGTGATAGTAGTTTCATTGGCTGTAATGTTTGGTTCCGCTTTTATCTTATTAAAATCTCTTAAAAAAATGGTTTAATGTTTGGGTGTTAATTTCAATATAATGTCATTGGTGCAAATATAAAGGGCATAATGTGTATAACCTTATATTTCTACAAGAGGTCTACATTTTAGGTTTGAAGTTGTTGTTTTTTATTTTACAGGGGTTTTTCCAATCAACTTGATATATAATTTTTTGATGTGATAACTTAAAATGCTGGAAATATCATAGTTTACATTACAAGTGCAATTACAAATAATAGTTGTGATTTTTTTCAGTGATGACTTTGATAATTGTTTGTTCTTCTTTCTGCTCCAACAGCAACAACACCACCACTTTCTTGGATTTGAATCAGAACCAGAGTTATCAATTTGGTGTAATGTAAAACTTGTTTTTTGTCAGTTACAGGAGTAAAGTCCAAGGTAAATATTATCAGCAATTGTCATTGCTATTTTTTCAATTGGTTTTGGCTAGTCAGGAGATCCACCAGCTCAATCATCATAGCCAACCTTTTGATATATTTCTCTCTATCAGCAGCTATACTAGTATGAAGTCAAGAGGAGATATATTGTAATGACTTTTCAGCAAAATTAGAAACCAAGTGGTTATGTAAATCTTTACTGGAATTTTCTGCTGATGATGATAGAGCATTCCAGATACCAGCAACTTTAGTAACATTAAAGTCAACGGGGCAAAGAACTAAACACACACTATATGTTATTTTTAGTTGTTTCAAAACTGATGTAGGTAATCCACCTGGTTGGTTGTTGATTTGCAAACTAATTTCATATGGGCATAAAAAAAATTTTGTCAACAGCATTCCATTGCAATGCTACCCAATTCTTCCATATATCCAACAAAATGACAATTTGCAAGTAGCATTGATTTATGTGTGACATCACAAATTTGCTCCACAGCAAAAAATTTTTTTTCTTGCAAACCAGATATTCTTACAAGCCTTTGCATAACTGGATCTAATTATAAATAGTTGAAAATCCTTGTCCAAAGTTTTTATTGCTTCTTTTTTATTTTATTTAGAATTTGGTATGAACATTTTGAACTAGATTCCTAGGAATGTGTGGTGTGAACAGGATTGTTTTTTAAATAGGCAAATTGAGCACAACTTTTGCCCCTTTTCTTTAGTTTTTTGTGATTTGTTTTCTGCAATACATTCTATTTTTTTTTTAAAAAATTTTTGTCAACTTTTTTCTTCGGATCTTTTCTTTTTTTTGTTTTTGTGAATTAACAACAGCCAAATGGCCACTCTTTCCATTTTATTAAATAAAATAAATAAATGTCTTACTAATAATACTATTGTAATTAAAATTAAATTCTATTATAGCTATTAAATTTTTAAACAATAAATCCAAAATATCTAAACAAATTGAGAGTATATTGAATGTTATACAAGTAATTATTCATAGTATTTTGATCAAGTCAAAATAAAAAATAGTGGTAATTATAAGAAAAATTATTAATGTAAAGCTCAGAATGATCCAGGTTCGTTTTGGTTTCGGGTTGTTGGTTGGGGACCGAACCGAAATCTGAATACTTTTGTGCTGTACCAATTATACTTGAGTCAAAATTCGTGGCGTAAACATGTTTCATGATAATTTCAGAATTTATTAGCTAACAAACCCTTTTTGGCTATGAAACATTGATGTTACATTAAAAATTAAAAAAATTAGTTTTCATGTAATAAATAAAGAATTTTAATTAATTCATACATACATCACGAATTGTGTCTTGCGTAACGATTTAGGCTCCTAAATTAGTGACGAAACTTAAAAAGTTTTATATTGTGATAAAATGGGTTTATCGAAGTACCGTCCAATCGTATGTCGGACATGTGACCTATATAGTTCTTTTTATATTCGCATTTTTATTATTTTACATTTAATATTTTTATTGACCATATGTATCCTTACTATAAACCATTAAATTGTCATCCAATCCAATCGGCATAGTAAAAAATTTTTAATTAATTTGGATTGACTTATTGGACTGGAAAGTTTGGCGTGACAACTTTAATTTTAGAAAAAGATTGGGATTGGCGAATTGATCATGAAAAAATCCCATTCTAAAAATTATGCTGCTCCAGAAATACAATACAAAATAACAAATCTTTTATAGGAGACTCTGAAAGCCAGGTTCAATAGAATGCGGTGGATGGGAATGCTGAATTAGAAGGTTAAGAACTAAATGGATTAGCAGGTTCAATAGGGTCAACTGAAAGAATCAAAAGGACAAATTAATTTTGACAAATATCTAAAATATAAATTCCTTTATATACAAATTTTATGATCCAAATTTGATTAAGACGTCTAGTATTCCTTACATTATATCATTTTAAGATTAAAACACCCATCTATGAATATAACGTATTTTTTTTCCGAAATTTTCACACTGACCCAAAGTAATTTTTTTTTTTTTTTTAAACAATGAAACCCTCACCCTAATATCCCAAATAACAAATTTAATAATAATAATGTCAACTTTTAATAACTTTCTTTTTTAGGAATTTATGATATCTTTTTAAATAAGCACCATAAGTACTGCCTCTAATTGTAAATACTTCAAAGCCATTAGCGGCTACCATAAGATCAGTTAAAGGTATTAAAAAGCGACTCATTACTTTATTATCTACAGGGTTTATGAGAGATCCATAAGGTTCAAGTTGATCTCTGAAATCAGAGAGCATTCTTAGACAAGGAAATTTATCCAGAATCACTTTCATGGATTCGTTTTCTCTACCAACATCACTAGCTACATATAAATTTCTCTTTGTGATTTCACCCTTGTCAATAGGTGGACATTCATTCTTCAGTGATGTTAAATATGGTGGAATTTCTGGGTATTTTTTATCAATTTGCATAACTAAATCAGTAAAATGTTCTTTACTTTTTTTTGCATAAACGTTGTCACCACCTCTAGCATGAGCTGAAATATAATCACCAACACCACCCATTTTTTCTACCACACTAGACACCACACTTAAAATTACTGGATTATTTGGTACAAATGATTCTTGTAATTTTTTAAAGAAGATTTTTGATGATTCCAAACCTTTATGGATTCTTCCTGATCCAAATAAACTACCAAAGTATATAAGCTTTTCAGGACGTTTCTTGAATAGTTGTAATGATTCTAACAATCCATTAGTCTCGATGTGTGGTTTTTCTTCTGTGTCGTACATTCGATCATATTCATAGGTAAAATCGAAATAAATTTCTTTCCTTGGTTCAGTGATATTTAACATTTCAATAACTGTTTCAAGGTCGAAATTTGGTGCATTTATGGTTTTGAGGTTTTGTCTGATAAATGTAAAGTCAAATAGTTGATCATATGGATAAAGTGTGTATGAATTATGAAATGATTCGCATTTTTGTCTTTCTCTTTTTATTTTTATATTTCCTCATTTGATCTAACACCATTGATGAATAAAAATTAATTTGTTATTATCTTAATGGAATAACAATTGACTGCATTTTGTCTTTTTTAGATCTAAATTTCAATTTGAATTTTTTCTTTTTTTGGAGCTTGATTTATAATTGTTCAAAAGTTCCAATGAAGAGTATCAAGAGCCTATTTGATGTTAGTATTGATGTAAATCTTTCTGATCCAATGATATAATTTGTAAACATGCTTTAGATTTCTTTTTCCTGTTTGAATTGATTGCAGCCAAGCATTGATTGTATGTACAACGTGCAGCACTGACCCATTTTAATATTTTTTGTTTATCCTCTGGGATCGAGATAAAGTCTGATTTTAAGTGCTTTCATTTTTCAGAAGATGATAAAATTGGATCTACATTCACAAGAGATGATTATGGTGTTAAATTCTCATTTATAGAAAAATAAATTACATCTTCTTTAAAACTATGCCATATTCCATTGGTAAAAGAGGAAGATTATTTAAATATCTAGGGTGTTGGTTTAGTTTAGCCAGCTGTAATTCATGACCCAAGAGCAGGAGATCTTTTAAAGGGTTATCCAATTGACTTGATCACAATGATTCACCATTATTTTTCAAGGGTAGCTAACACCAGTTTGTGAGTCCTTTGATGAATTCATCCCAGAATGCCTCATATCTTCTTACAATTGTAGAAGAAATTGGTTGTGATGATGAGTTACAGTTTACAGAAGAAGATTGCATATAGTTTCTAAAATCATTTTGTAATTAATTAATAAGAAGTAAAAAGAATTTATTTTAAAGCAATGTTATTTTGTAGTTAATAAGGAAGCAAAATTTAACTTTATATATTTTTTATTTATTTTTTTATTTTTATTAAGTGAATGGTTGCGGTTATATATGTTATATATGTTATCAAAGTCGGTGTTAATGTTAGTGTTAATATCACCATTGCAATCTTCTTCAGAATTTAATAATGGAGTTAACGAAGTCATTTTTTTTTCAAAAAAAAACGAACAAGTTTTTGGTTAATTTTTCTTGACGAAACGAAAAATTTAATTATTGTTCCAGACAAATATGCTTGTTTTTTTATGTTAAACCATTGAAACGTAGCCAACATTTTATTCCTTTACAGGAAAAGAATCGTTTCATATGGGCAAATTTTTGACAGCACGTCTTCTTTTCAGTGGAATTAACATAACAAAGAGGATCTCTAATAATTATATTTGGACTAGACCTGTTAGAAAAATTTCTTTGTGCGTATGAATCGTTTGTTAGATAATGATAAATGATTAACATGTCCAATAATAATAATAAGGGAAAATATTTCTTAGGTATCACTTAATATTAAGATTAATTTGCTAAATACGGTGCAGATCATCATCAAAATACTAAAAAAGTTTGATGAAGTTTTATTTGTTCGTTTTTTTTCTTAAAAATGTTTATTTCCTATTTTTTTATATGTTCGTTAAACTTTCAAAATATAGTAACACGAAAATTATTAGTCAAACTGAACTGCTATATATAAACCGATTTCCGCTTTATAACGATACAAAATTGGTTAACCGATCATATTTAATAAAAATCATTTCGTTAAGCCGAATTTTATTATAATTTCTACTTTACTTGATAAACCGAACTCAATGGTTTGTACAAAATAATAAAAATGCAACTTTATAAGCCGAATATGATCATAAACTGGTTTTAAAATTCGTATTATAATGATAAAATTCTGCTTAAATTAATGTCAATAAAAAAGCACGAAAATTAGAATTTTTGAATAATATTGAAGTTGATAATGTTGAAATTGAAGTTGAAGTTGATACTAAGCGAGAAAATTGTGAAGTTCAAGATTTAATTAACTAACTCCCATTTGATGATTCATTTTAGCGTACGAGTATTTAAATATTGAGAATAACATGGTTGCAGGTGAATTAGTAATGGAAGATGTGTATATTATTGTATTAATTCAACCAACAGAAATAGATGAGCAACAAGATGAAACCTTTATTCCAAAATTTTCTATTACAGATACCATATGGAATTTATTAAATTTTTTAGTATACCCTCTAAGTGGTTTCGATGTATGCGAAGATGAATTAAAGTGCATTCGTGCTCTTGGAAAAAAATTATTAAGATTAATAGTTCAGCGCAACAATTTTTTAGATAAATATATTTTTTTAGAATAATTTGTAAAATTTATATTTTATAACGAATTGTATCATAAACCGAATTTTGATAATCCGATCCTATTTTTGTGATTCCCAAAAGTTCGGTTTATCGAGGTTTGACTGTATATGCATTTCTGAAAAACAAAATTTTTCGATCCCTTCTTTAAAGCTGAATTGAATGGTGGCGGTTTTTTAAAAATCCAACATGTGGATCACATGATATTTCAAAACTTTAAAGCCGGGAAATATTTTTTATATTAGTTTTTCAATATAAAAATAACATTCTGCAGTAAGTTTTAATTGAACTGTCAACTATAAACCATTTATTATTTATTTTATTGATTTCCTGTGATCCATAAATTACTTTTTACCAGTGTTGGCAATGACAGTTATTTAACTTTGAATCATCAGTTAAATAACCGGTTCAAAAGTTAAAATAACTGTCATTGCCAACACTGCATACGGTCTAACATAAGTTGTTTTGTATTATCTTATTTTAAACTATTAATATTGATAGCTAATTGTAAAAATTACCTGGTGGATTTTTTAAATATTGAATCACTTTTTCTAAACTATTCCACTTCTTCCTCTTTATCAGAATCATCAACCTCAGGATTTGGCTCCATTGCTCTAATAATCTCTTGACATCAGTAAAAAAAAAAAGAGGATAATGTACAAACATTAATTTTATTGTTAAAAAAAGAATAAATAGAATATTGCCGCCATCAAAAAAAGGATAATGCACAAACCAATTTATTGTTAACACATTACCATTTAGAGAACACATTAACATTAACCATTAATGTAAAAGATTGCATATAACAAATAGTGAGTGACCCTGCTAATATCTTCAATATATTTCTCTATTATTTCCCGTTCACATTTTCCAGCAGAAGCCTTCCTCCTATCTGAGTCAGGTACATATAACTTTTTTATCCTGATTGCATTTCTTGGTGGATGCCCATTTAGCTGTTATTCTCTATATTACCAATTCAGGCATGCTATTCAATATTTCAATGAGTCCCTCCTTCCTAGCTAGCTTTTACGATTAACTTCTGGTCTTACTTAGGGTTTTGCCTAACACCTCTTTTAAAATAGAATAAAAGAAAAGAAATAAAAATAAAAGAAATAAATATATACAAATATATTTAGCAAAGGCATCCACCTGGTAAGATAGTAAAAATATCATTATAAAAATATAAAATTTGAGGACAATGATGAGGACAAGGACAGTTTTTATTTTATTATTATTAGATATATGAATGATTGTTAATATGAATGACCATACATGAAGTTAAGAAAATTATAACATTATTTATACATGTTAAAGGTTCATCTAGTTCCCTGATTTTTGGAACTCTTAATCTGTTCT